TATTGCCATAAGCGAAGAAGCTGCTGTCAGATACGTTTACAAGATATCTGACAAAGCAAGTTAAAAGATATTTGACAAAACGTTTTGAAATAACTGGTCCAACCAATTATTTTTCGCTGGCAAATTAATTATTTCCGTGTGTTCAAAGGTTGATATTTATTTTTTAAGTGAAGTAAATGACTTTGAACTGAAACAATCAATCAATATGTTCAATCTTGATTAGCATGAACATGTTCTATTTACAAGAAAATATATTATTCGCAAAATTGCTCAAATGGAATTATGTACTATGTTGGGTGTCTATATAATCATAGACAAATTGCTCTTAGAAGTCTGAAAAGTAATGTATCTTCAAAAAGGAAAAAAAAAACTACAAACGTCATTATGTCGTTCCATTTTGTCAACAAAAAAGGATGCTCAATTATTAATTATATTCACTATGTTGACATACAAAAATAAGTCTTTGGCACCTTGCCAGGACAATTTTGCGGAAAAACTGTCGTGCGCGCGCTTTTGGGGCAGACAACTGAAATCGGAAGAAAAACAACAAAACACACAGCCCACTTTTTCAAGCGGTTTCASTTTATAAATCGATGATCTGATTTGAAGTACATGTTTAAAGAAAASAACTATTGTTTTTCGAAAGCAAAATGGAAGTACGTTTCCTAGCAATATCAGTATTTCTCATTAAGAATATTTTTGGTACCTCAGAAGTTTTCAATCCAATGAATCAAGATTACAGATACACAGATGGYATACCRATCTCCTTACAAGGCTACAAACTCAATGGTTTTAACTACAAGGTCTTTAACTYGGTCACCATGATCGGCTGTGGGCAAAGATGCTTGGCTGAATTCCCTAAATGCGTGTCATACAACTACTTTGTGTCAATRAAAGAARAATTCTGTGAGCTGAACACGAARGGAGTGAGTTCTGCTGCYGAAGGAATTGCMGGAAGCCTTGARMARGRACMGAATTCTGTCTTTGTTCAAWTACAGACAGATTCAATGGTAAGTTTACATTGCCTGCTACTTRCTCACGAATTGCTACTAAGAAAGTTTTCTTACTATAACTTTGAACTTTGATAAAATGAAAAAAGAAAAGAAAAATAATGAATTCCAAACAAWTTAAACTTTTCTTTTAATTTTCCATGGAAGCATTAGCATGAATGCAATTTCCGCTCTCTGGATAAACAAGTGGCTGAATTCACGCGGTTTTTTTTGATGAGTACTCGAGTTTCAAATATATTCATTGCGAATCCTAAGAAACACTTGGAATACGAGGAGTAAAGTCTAATAAGGCGCTTAAAGTGAACCTAGAAATACTTTAGAACCTTGGCAACAGCACGTGTTGTAACGTTTTTGCTARTTTTGTGTACATACAGTCTCGCTAAATAAACTTGGTGCGTGTCAAAAGAGTTACTTGTCTGATGAGCGATTGAAGGGCAATGCTCACTCGGCCTCCCTTTTGAGCTTTTGTTTATGTTTAAAAATAAAAATACATAAATACATCGTAATATAAGTAGAAACTTACTCTTTATTATCCATTTATACTCTATGAATTGAGATATTGAAAGATTYGATCTTGAAATCTACGGATGAAAAAGGTTTACCGAAAAAACGGTTTTCATTCATTCATATTTCATTCTCCCATTGATTTTTTATATAGAATTACCCCATGACATGCGCARACCAYTACAAGTCGGGTGYCCGGGAATCAGGTCTGTACTATATACGAGACCGTGACAACCAGTACTACCGGGTGTTCTGCGACTTCCACAGCGAG